ACTAAAAGATATGTATATATCTTCAAAGTCTTGGACAGGGCTGCAGTTCACTGACAGAACATTTGCTTTTAATGCAAAGTGCCAGCTTCAATTGCTGGTATTTCTATCCAATGGTTTGACTTCAGGTATGGCAAGTATTTTTATTCTATGGAAAACTTCAAGTCAAGGAGGTGACTTGGTAGCTTTCAATGTCAAACATTCTACCATTGGATCCTGACACAATAAAACAAGTATGGTATCATCGATGTAAAAATTTCTATTAACAAGGCCAGAGTGTTCAAAAAAAAAGATAAAGTATTTTATTGCAAAATTTCTGAGCAAAAGAATTTTCTTTTGATTATGAGAGTTAAGTTTTTCTTTAAAAAAAAATAACAGTCACATTAGCAAGAACACACACATGAAATTTAAATGTGATGAGAATGTATGGGCAACAAATTATATTCAAAATGAATAAAGTTTCTGCTCTCATTTCTGGCCAAAAACCCTTATTTTCCAACACAATTGTATCTTTTTTCTTGTCCATCTTTATTTGTTAGTGCCTAATTTATATTTCCTGGCATTATATAGTTTTTCCATAATGTCTTTCTCCTCCAGTCAGGAATTCTTCTGTAATAAAACTCAACATATTCAATATCCTGTTGGTATTTTACATATTTCTTTCCTAACCTTGTGCTTTCAAGATGGGAGGTAGTATAATTACCATAATCTCCAATCAAGCAAGTTGAAACTAGCTAAAGATACTGAAATTTTAGATAAATTCACTTGAGTAGCTGGTGGGAAAAGTGGGTTTAAAGTTTAAACTCATGGTTGATGCTTATTTCAACAGAGCTTACATAAGTCTTAACACCGAGTAATTCCAAATTGGTCATGAACGCAGGTATTTCTATATAGGTAGTCCAAAACTTACAATCACAACTGAGTCCAAAAATTTTGTTGCTAAGTGAGACATTTGTTAAGTGAATTTTGATCCATTTTATGACCTTTCTTGTCCCAGTTGTTAAGTGAATCATTGTGGTTGTTAAGTTAGTAACTGGTTGTTGAGTGAATCTGGCTTCCCCTTGACTTTGCTTGTCAGAAGGTCACAAAAAAGGACCATGTGACCTTGGGACACTCAACTGTCATAAGTATGAATCAGTTGCCAAGTGTCTGAATTTTGATCATGTGACCATGGGAATGCTGCAATGGCCATAAATATGAAAAATGGTCATAAGTCACTTTTTTCAGTGCTGTTGTAACTTTGAATGGTCAATAAATGAACTGTTGTATTGTAAATCGAGTACTACCTGTAAATTTTGCTTAATTTAAATATAGAAGCTAATTAGAGCAGAAAAATCTTTAGGAAAAATGTTCAAGTACAATTAACTAATTGCTAATAATTATTTGGTTCTTTGAGCTTCCATAATAATCCAAAGGTTCAGCTGTGCTTTTTCTCCTCCCCATTTAACAGGTTGAAAATTTAGGTTGAGAAATATTCTTTATATATTATCTATTGCTCACATATCATTTCTTTTGGATGAAAATAAATTTCATAAAGGGAACATGTGGAACATGTAGCCAATTTTTGGTAATTGCTGCATAACTTTATTTTTATAACATTAAAAAGCCAGATATTACGATCTTCTAAACAGTTTATGTTCAAATATTGGATTTTTATTTTTTTTTAAATGTCATATGTTTAAAAGTAACTTATGAAACATAAAACTTCTCATACCTAAAGCAGTTCATATATGAAAAACCAATGCTTTTCTTTTAAACAGGTTTCCCCTCCTTTTATTTACTGTAATGCTAATCTTGCCCTGCGTCAAATGTCCCCAAGGAAAAAATATTTGGATCTAATTATAGTGGTAACACAATTCCCAATAATTTGTTTTACTTGGCTAGTTGTTAATTTAACTACTTAAAACCTTTTCACAGAAACATAGGATTGACAATTAACAGTTGAACCCCACCACTACACCACACTGGCTCTGCATAACAGATAAAAGAGGTCTAATTTTTTGCAGTGTCATCAGACTAAGTAGCAATTCTATTGTTAAACCCAGCACAGCTATACACAATGGATACATCCAAATGAAGCTAAGGGTCATTATTGATGAATATTCTTGAATGAACATCTTCATATTACTGAATATAGAAAATGAAGCTGTTGATTACTTGATGCAAATAAAGGCTGTAATCTATCACTACATGTTGAGAAATAAATTATGGAATACACAGTAAGATACAATAGATTAGTTTCTCTCATTTGTTTCTGATCAAATATAAGAACACACAAGGGATTTTATAGAGTACCCTGTACTATAAACTAATGTTTGGTAAATTAGATGAGTCTCAGATAAGTATGAAAATCAACATCAAGAGCCTTGGTAGTACAGTGGTCTAAAGCACCCTGTTATTAAGAACAGCTGCCTGCAATTACTGCAGGTTCGAATCTCGCCAAGGCTCAAGGTTGACTCAGCCTTCCATCCTTTCTAAGGTAGGTAAATTGAGGACCCAGTTGTGGGGACAATAAGCTGACTTTGTTTAAATATACAAAAGAATGAAGGCTATTGCTTAGCGCATTGTAAGCCGCCCTGAGTCTCCGGAGGAGGGCGGCATATAAATCAAATTAAAAAAAACAAAAACAAAACAAAACACCATGTAATCATAACTTTAGTCAGCAGTCTCATGCTTGTTAGGACAAAGTAGCGTTGTCCACTACCAGCTTAGTTGTTAGTTTGACTAGAGGTTGCACTGCTAAAACAACGCAAAAGAACACAAACTAGTGCAGCTATGTTGGTTGGGCTGCAGAATTAGGAGTTACAAGGTTTTCCTAAATAGATAGATTTGTGTTTGGGACTGGCTAATGAAGTTGAAATCCTGTCTCACATGAATAGAAGTTTACAAGATTAGCCAGAAGGTATTCTCCCTTCTTTTAAGAAGACATAACAATACAGATACGTTTGGACTTAATCAGTTGTCAATATGTTTCTAATGTTTCTCCTTTCAGAGTTTGCTGTTTTCAGTTTTCGCTGTTATATTTTTTCATATTTCAAGTCTTCCGTCTGCCTATTTTTTTTCTCTTTTCAAAATACAACTCCTGTTATTGTCTCTCTAGACCTGACATGCCTTTTCTTTGTGTTTGTTCTTTCATATGCTACCCACTTACAAGCAAGTATAAGGCTCATGATTAAATGTAGTAAATCTTAATAAAATTTAAATCTATTCTGCCTGCTTATTGAGTCATCTTGTATTGTTTCTTTTAGAGGCTGAGATGATGTTGGTGACCCAAAAAAGCAAACAGCAGTCACAGAGTTGGAATAAAAACATTTCAGTGCAAACACCCTATGTTCTCAGTGACTGACTTCTTGCTTGGATTATGTCAAAAATAGCTTTTAGAAAAACAAATAACTCTTGTAAACAGAATCCTTAATGAAAAAAAAATAGTGAATACTTAGATATTCCATATCTGTTAGTATCAAGGGTCAGTTTCAATGTTAGTCATGATCTATAGCCAAAATTCTTTTGGGATCAGTGATATTACTGCAGTTAGCTTCAGCTGTTCCTTAGGAATAATCTCTTTGGAACTATTGCAAAGCAAATATCAATCAGCTTCGGCCTTCATGGTCCAAGTGAACTTCACTCCTGCCGATGTTTTAGCTAAAGGCTTCTAATTAGTGCTAAATTACAAACTGTATCCAGTACATTAACACAGTGTCAATTAATTAGCATAAGATTAACATACATTTACTTTTCATTGAAATATGATTGCGGAAGCGCAAACTGTTTAGCAAAATTGAAGGCACCTGTGCTGCCTCCTTTCCCTGCCATCGAAGCCTTCTCTCCAGATTGAGCACAGCAAAGGTGCCAATAAAGCTGCAACCTTCACACCAGTGTGGGAGGTGATGTGTGTTTCGGAACTCTAAAGACACCAGCAAACTACCCCTACACTAGCCTAGGGGTATCCAACCTTGGCAATTTTAAGACGCGTGGACTTCAACTTCCTGAATTTTCTAACTAGCATTCTGGGAATTGAAATCCACAGATCTTCAAGTTGCCAATGTTGGACACTCTTGCAGTAGCCAAAGAAAATAATGTGTTTTTCCTTCAGAAGAATTGAATGGTCCAAAAGAGATGAAAAGGAGTATAGCAGCTCAGTAGGACAAAGCACAACAGAAAAAAGATGCAAGAGCTTTACATGCTGGCAGTTAACAAAAAAAGAAGAAATCTCAGAAAGGAGGCTGGGTTTAAGAAATAAATGTTGATGCATAATAGCAATAGTATAATGCTAAGTACTGTATATAGGTAATTGTAATAGATATAATATGTAGTGGTGTAAACATTGTCACAGTAATAGTATATTGTAATTGTTATCGTAATAGTATAAAGCAGGGGTGTCAAACTTGTGGCCCGTGGGCTGGATGCATCACGCACTGGCCATACCCATGCCTGGTTTAGCGAAGAGGAAAAAAGTCATGATACATCACGTGACAATGCCATGATGACGCAAGTTTGAAAGCCCTGGTATAAAGATAGCAATAGAATAGATGAAGCACTCAAACACATCACTTTGAAAATGGAAAATAAACCATGGGAGATTTCTCCCATAGAACAAGAAGATTGGCCCAAATTCTCAACTTAAAGATTTTGGGCTCATCTTCTTGTTATATGGGAGAATCTCCCATGGTTTATTTTTTATCTTTTGTGATGAGAGAATGAAATTTGACCAGTGAAATTACAGAGGATACTTAAATTTATTTTATTATTTATTAAACAAATTTGTATATTCCTTTGCTGCCTTTCCATCAAGTGTATTGAAAATGCCTGTTTTAGGAAAGAGGGACTGCAACACTTGGACAGGTAAAATGGAGAGGGGGGAAATGAGGTGTTTTAGTACCACTAGCGGAGTAGAAATGATGGCATGAAAGTGTCATTTTCATGAATTCAAGTTTCCGAAGCTTTAAATTTTTGCATCTTGATCAGAACTTAACAATAGTTTGAACTATTTTAATCACTGATGCATCTTACAAGCATGATTAAAAGTATTCAAAAAACTAATTATAAAATCAATTATATGACATCAAGCCATCTGTATGCTATCACCTGGATTTTTAACACAAAAAAAGCAATAGTAGCTTGATAGACAGTGTTAGCCCATTACAAACGCTCAGATTTATTTTTAAACAAACAAATACAAATAAGTACTTAGAACAAAGGCATATTTGCATCACATAGAAATGGATATTATTCTAGGATTCAGTCAGAGTAGACTTTTTACATGCTCTTATTGGACAGATCAAAGATGAAAGAGAACAGGTAGTCCTCGACTTACAACAGTTCATTTAGTGACCTTTCAAAGTTACAAAGGCACTGAGAAATGTGACTTATGACAATTTTTCACACTTATGACCTTTGCAGCATCAAAATTCAGATGCTTGGCAACTGGTTCATATTTAAGACAATTGCTGTGTCCCAAGGTCATGTGATCAACTTTTGCAACCTTCTGACAAGCAAGGTCAATGGGTAAGCCAGATTCACTTAACAACTGAGTTACTAACAACTGTAATGATTCACTTAACTAACAACTGCAGTGATTCACTTAACAATTGTGGCAAGAACGGTGGTTAAATGGGACAAAACTCACTTAAAAATGTCTCAACAGCAGGAATTTTGGGCTCAATTGTAGCCATAAATCGAGGATTACCTGTACTAACTCAAGAGTATTTTTATACAATCCCAAATTGGCAGGAATGAAGATGATTAAGTAAGCTATATCAATCTGCTTTAGGGGAATTAAAAAAAGGTGCTGCCTGAAAATGCCTTTAATGAGTATATTGTGATCATCGTGTACAGCTCGGGTGTCAAACTTGCGGCGTCACATAGCCGTCATGTGATGTATTGCGATGTTTTCCCCTTCATGTAGCTGGGTGGGCATGGCCTGCATGTGACGCATCTGGCCCAGTTTGACACCCCTGGTGTACAATATGTTGACTTTATTCTCAATGACTATGAGTGATAATTCTCTACAGGTAGTAGTGACTGTTTTGGATAGTGATTATTCAGTTACAACAGTGCTGAAAAAGTTGCTTTGTGATCAACGTCCACAATTACGACCGTCACAATATCTCTGTCTCTATTCTTGGTCTCATGTTCACCAGACAGTATGTGTTTTCCTGTGTAAAATCATAAGCCAATTGTGGCTGTATGATTTTTTTAATCAGCAAGTGCGTCACTTAAGGACTGAGTTGCCAGTCCCATCTGCAGTCGCTAAACAAAAACTGACTATGTAGCACATATGAAATCGTGGCAAAGTATTTATAAAATTGTATAATTGGGTGAATCTATCTAAGAGAGCTTATTTATGGAGAAGAAATCTGTTTCAGAAAAATGGATTGTTTAAAGTTGTGACTCTACATCCATGATTTCAAGCTAAATCAAATCTGAATTGGTTTCACAGTTGAATTCCTTGTGGACAGTTCTAGCATGTATTTAAATTTATCATATCAAACATCATATCAAATGTTATAATCAACGGAACATATATGTTCACATGCAGTAGGTTTCATCAACGTTAATGTGAATTTATATATTATATCTAATTTGAGAAAATTAGATACAATTGAGAAAATTAGATACAATTTCATGTTGGCCATGGCTTCTTTTCTAAGTGTTACTAAAGAATATTACTGCACCACAGCATCTGTAGAGTTGGCAGCAGGCTCAGTCATTCTGTCCAAGCTTCTTGATACCTGTGATTAGGCTTATCACTGTACCTTCTTAAATATTTGCTTACACTTGACACCACAAGCTCTGATTTCCTGAAAAAGAAGTTCATTTTTAACTGCTATTTAGTCAAATCTATATGTTTCTCATGCAAAACCTTTGCTGTCTAAAAAAGAAGCATATGCAATTAAGGAGTCCTGGTAGCGCAGCAGACTAAAGCACTGTTATTAACATCAGCTGCCTGCAATTACTGCAAGTTCAAATCGCACCAGGCTCAAGGTTGACTCAGCCTTCCATCCTTTCTAAGGTAGGTAAAATGAGGACCCAGATTGTGGGGGCAATAAGCTGACTTTGCATAAAATATACAAAAGTATGAAGGCTATTGCTTAACACATTGTAAGCCGCCCTGAGTCTCCGGAGAAGGGCGGCATATAAATCAAATTAAAAAATAAAAAATAAACTCAAAGATTAAAACAGAGAGAATCTCAGCTTAATCTTAAAAATTCATTGTATGACATTTCTTGAGGGATCCTTGGTGCTCTCTGAGCTTGGTTGTATTCTTGCAGATGACTACTAGTTCTAGTAGTGATTATTAGCATTTGCTTTCTGGCAGAAGTTTCTAGCACTGATGATTACTAGCACTTGCTTTCTTGGAGAAGTTTTATTGGGCAATACAACTTCTCCAAGAGAGCAACCAAGTTCAGAGAAGCACCAAACAACCCTCATTTCAACCCTGAGCCACAGATATTCTCCTTTATTGTATGATATTTCTTGTTTCAGTCCAACTCACCTTGAGGATTGCTGTGAAGATATAATGAATATGTAAAAAGAATGATATATACTGGCTTAAATTCTTTCTTTCCCAAACATAGACATTTGATATACAAGTAGACATCATCTATTAAATGCCCTTGTGTACGGCAATGGATTCAATTTTGCTGGATCATATACTTTTACTGGAAAAGAATTTTGTAACATAGAATCCCTTTTGAAATATCAAAAGCTTTTTTTTTTTTTTGAGATTTTAGAATTCCCTATTTACATTTAACATCAGCAGTCAGTAGCTGCAATGATGCTTAAACAAAAAAGTATCCAGGGACAAAGCATCAATAATACTTTATAAACTATAGTCAAGCAGACTTGTAGGTTAAGCATCTGTGCGCATTTGCAGCAGTGAGAAGGGCAGAATATTTGACCCTCGTCTTGGTACTTTAAGTTACCATGTTTTCCCGAAAATAAGACCCTGTCTTATATTTTTTTGAACCCTGAAATAAGAGCTTGGCCTTATTGCTATTCGCTCAAAAGCCCGATTGGGCTTATTATCTGGGGATGTCTTATTTTAGGGGAAACACGGTACTTGACTGTAGTTAAAATAACTCTTAACAAATAATAACAAGTATGTGGTTGTATTGCCAGCATGATTATGTATTGTACTGAGTGGATTGAAATAGCAGAATCCGGCTCCAGTTATAATGTCTTGAAAGTAAATTCACAGATAGGAGGATGTCATTCAAAAAAGAGGATCTTAGAATCCAGTCCTTGAGGAATGAATGGGTATCTTGTCACACTAAGGATGTGCCTTTAGGTTGTGATGGTTACTATATGTGGGGTTTGGACTATTATTAGAAGTACACATACAGTAGATTAATAGGATGAAAATAGTAGACATTACACACTGTTTAGTTAGATAGTTCTTGCAGGAAAGAGTAATCAAGATGTTGGATGTTCCATTTATGTTGTTAAGAGTTGGTCTAAATCAGGATGCCACAATTGATTTGTCAGTAATGATATTTTTCTTATAGACAGTGCTGAATAAGGCAGAGCTGAATAGTCTCAGTGCATTAATGAGGCAGTAGAAATATTTTAGATTCATGAATTATCGGAATACTTCAAGGGACAAGGCAGGTCTGGAAAAAAGGGTCATGCTGCACTTGAACCAGGTATGTACAAGACAGCTGGACACATAAAATGAAAAATGGGAAAGAACAGATTTTAAATTGATCCCAAGAAAACGTCAGTATGGAAACACCTAATTCTGGAAAAATTATTCCCAGAAGAAAAAGGTGATTTGTTGGGGTAAATGTTCAGACGAATCACCGCAGTCAAAGTCAAATTTGAGATGAAAAGTGTCACAGGAAATCTAAAATGGAGAATTGATGTAGGTCCTTATATGCCAATGCTAGGATTTTCCAAGCTAAAATGGAAGATTTGAAGTCCAGGAGCATAGATACAGATCTTTTAGAAATCTTGTGGAATGGAAATAACTTTGAAGAGAAAGAAAGCTTTAACTTTGCTGAAAAGAAACCAGCATGGCTTTTGTAAAGCTAAACCTAGTCTCTCTAAGCTACATTTTTCTGATGGTGACAACAAGCCTATAAATCCAATAGATGCTGTATGTTTAGATTTTCAAAAAAACAGAGCCTTTGATAATTCTGTTATCAAAGGCTCTTGGAAAAAACCCAGGCATTGGATAAGAGCACAGGTGGCCTCAAGGTTCAGAAAACCATTAAAATACATTAAAGTAGAAATAAATAGATGGCTCTCTTTTAAATTGTCTGTTTGGAATCACCTACTGTGGCTTCCTGTACCTGTTAGGAATGGAAGTTTTCCATTTGTATCCCATTTTCCATGGAATGAATACTATGGAATAAATTAGCCTTTTTTGTTTAAGATGATAAAATAAAAATAAGATTGTGAAAGAACTTCATCAAATTAAATAAATTGGCTTCAAAATGGCAAATGTAGTTCTGGGTAAACAAATGCACTTTAGCACAAATAATAATAATAACTAGGACAGATTTCTAGGTCCCTGGCTAGAAGATGAATGACCCAAGAACACCAGGCTAAGATGTGTTTTTTTTAAACTTGTTTTTCAAACTATATTATTCAACAATGATGACGATCACATCAACAGATTCAGAATTTCTTCGTATACATTAATTTGATCTGAGTTGGTGCTGATGGATTCTGGGGATTACAGTAAACCTGATAAAAGTTAGCTGAGGGTGCAATTGCTATAAAGAAAGACAAATTCCATGCTTAGCATTATTAGGAAGGGAACTAAAAACAGAACTGCAAATATAATAATCTCCTTGTACAAATTCATAATGAGATTGCCTTTGGAGCAATGTATATAGTTCTGGTCACAAACCTTACAAATTGTGTATCAGGGACTAGAAAACAGAGCACTCAAAATAATTATGGGATTGGAGCAACTTCTTTTGATAAACTACTGTGGCAAGAGGGTCTTTTTATGGAAAGTAATGGAACAAGGAGAAGCATCGTAAAATCATGCATGGCATCACTATTTTAATATAGATATATGTTTTTCTTCCTCTCTCAGAAGATTAGAACTGAAATGTAATACAAGGACATTCAAGATAAACAGAAGCAAATCTCACTTTTTCTCATAACACAAGAATTGGGGAATTCATTGTGCCAGCAGTTATAGTAATGGAAGCTCATTTGGATGCTTTTAAAAGGAGATCAGAGATATTTATGGAGAACTAGCGTATTAGTGGCTACTAATTTTGATGGCTGTTTACTACCTCACTGTGCCTTAAATACTTGTTGCTACAAGCAACAGTGGGAAGGATTACTGCTGTCAAGCCAAGGTTTCTGAACTTCTGAAATGCATCTGTGACCTAGAAAGCTAGATTGGATGAGTTTATACTCTGATGCTTTTCATGTCATTTTCTCATGTCTTTGATTTAACACAAAATATCAGACATGAATTTCTATAGGAGAGACTTTAGACAATGGTACCAATATATTCTAAGAGATAAATTACTTGGATGCTCTGAACATAATTTTCTCAGTCAAAATTGGAACTTTTGATATAACTTCTCAGAGAATAAAAACATTTCTGGGGTGAAGTAAAGGGAATATGTGATCTGAATGGAATTTGAGCAGGAAGGAGAGGAGCACTTTGGATTTAAAAATGGGTCAGCTGGAATGGAATTAGTTCAACAAAATTTTAAAAAATATAATGCCATGTACTGTTCTCTTTTGTATCAAATGAATTCAGTTACAAAATAAATACAGTTGGTATGTAAAACACTGTGACAGGAAGAGCATCACATAAAAGGCCACCTATAGAAGAGAAAAAATCATTTAATTAAAAGAACTTATGAATTCTTGTCAAACTTATGCTTGACAAGAACAGAGAAATGAGATCTAGAATGCTACGGAAATTAACCTAAGAAAAATGTGTGCATTAATTGACTTGAAAATGCTGACTTGAAACTGAGCTGTCCGGAAATAATCATGAACAAATCTCTGAAGTTTATGGCAGATCACTTAATAGACATTGCAAAAGGATTAATTAACATTTGGAAAAGTGTCTGGCATTCAAGAAGACATAAAATATTATTAGTGAAGCATCATGGAATAATTCTTGTGTCAACTAGATGTTTTGCAGATGAAAAGTTTTTTTCAAAAATGCAAAACTGTGTTGAGCAGACATTAAAATATATTAATAAAACAACATTCACATATTTGAAAGGTAGAAGGAAAGAAAAATAAACATTTCAGAATGTTTAGAGTTTAGAGAAGTGATAATGCAAGCTTATAGGCATAATGAAAATACAACAAAAAGCAGTTTAAGATATAGGAGAGGGTACGAATAGGACAAGTCCCAGTTATATAGGGATTCTCAAATTTATTTGGTTATGGTAAAGCATGAACAGCCGAAATTTGGCTGTTTAAAGGATGATATTCTCTATTCTGAGGTACTATAGATTTTAAGAGCTGTGGTACTTTCACAGTAGTAAATGGAATGACTGCCCCAGGGAGGCATGGCTTGCTAACGTTTTGGTGCCAGATTAACATGTTACTTGTTATTTTTGGATTTATTTTTTTAAATATGAAGTCTCTTCATATTTGAGGTTTTAGCATCTTCCTCTCTGTTGGCTTAAAGATTCAGCTACCAATCCAATTTAAATACCTAAAGGTTCACCTGAATGCTTATGCATGTATTATCCTGACCTAATAATGCATTTTATAAGCACCAAGTTTGGAGACTTAGTTTTGTACGCTCTTGTGGGGAACAGAGCTTTCAACACTATAAAGAACTACTTGAGAAAGAAATGATAAAGTTTATTAGGTGCTAGTAGCTAGAGTATCAGAGATAATGGCTGGAAAGAAAATGATGCTTTCAAAAGTGAATTGCTCACTTTCATTTCCAAAGCTATAAATAATTTTAATTTTAAGGGAAAAAAGAAACATTAAAAAGAGCAGCTGTTCTTCCTGCATTATGCACACATTGTTTATGATGTACTGTTTAGGGTATAAAAATAACCCCAATTCAAATTTTCTTTATACCACAACTGGTGTTAGGAATGTTCCTATTACATGCTTTCACTGATACAGAAAGATTGATACAGCAAGAAAAAATTGATAGTTTAATAGAATGCCTTCTTCTATTTAGCAAAATGCTCTTTATGATAGAATATAGTAAACTTGGTATTGCTGATAGTATTTAGGCAGTATGATGTTCAAGCAAGCTTTTTATTACTGCATTTAGTAAATAAAGGAAAAGGATAGGAAAGAGAAGAAAGGAAGATATACATTTTAAATAATTTCATATCTGGACTACTGGGGTGAAAAACTGAAAATAGCTCCATTAAAAGAGTTGATGATTGTGAGCTATTCATGGAGAGGACTTGTACTCACTGTAGTGCTCCAAACAGTTGCTTCTCAAGATAGCACTTTCCCACTGGCTTAGAGAAAGTCATGTTTGTTTGAATGGGGCCAGTGTCTTTATAGACACTGGGTTTACATACTTACTTTTCTAATCATATTGGAAATTGCTTGTTATTTGCTTTTCAGTTATTATGAATATGCAGATTGATAAATTTCGGACAGCACTGGGGAGTTTCCTTCCAATAGCAAAAGAATTGCTTCAAAAAGCAAAAGAAGTTTTAAATTTAAGTGCTTTAGATAAATAAGTATTACTTTGATGGAAAAATAACAGAATAATATGAAAAGAAGGTTTCCCTGGCAATTGTAATGTCACCAGTTAATCCTTTCAATTCAGAAGTGCCTTGGTAGGTGCTTCTGACATGAATGTAGTAATACTAGGTTTTTAAATTTTGGAATAAACAGGAAAATGGTGATTGCAACACTGAATTTAGAAAGTTACAAACAGAATAGAGATTCAGATGGATTTGAAATAAGATTCTTTCTGTGCGAAAATGCTATGGTTTGAATCTTTTTTATTTTTTATTTAAAGAACCATGTTAGGATGGAACTTTAAAGGTTAGACACTAGGTAAAGGAGTCCCTGTGGATTTTACTTTGCTAAACATTGCCGACTATGAGGGGCAGTACTCATCTCCATTTGAAGACCATTGAGCCAGTGCTGTCCAAAGACATTTGGACAGCATAATGTTCTGGAGCAATGTTACCTTCCCATCTTAATGGTTCCTATTTATCTACTTACGTGTTCATACGAGTGGTGGGTTTCTACTGGTTCACTCCGGTTCAGGTGAAGCGGTAGTGGTGGCAGCAGGAGGCTCTGCCCACCCACTCGGACATTATCACCACCCGGACATTATCATGGACACTCTGTGCATGTGCAGAAGTGCCATGCATGCACAAAGCAAGCGCGCACACGTTTACACTCCTGGTTCCAAGCCAGTAGTGAAGGTAAGCGGAACCCACTACTGGTTCATACTTTTGAACTGCTAGGTTGGCAGGATCTGGGGCAAGGACGGGAGCTCCCTCCATTGCATGCACTTGAACCTGGGCTGCCGGTCAACAAGCCCAGGGTCTTAACAACTGACCCCTTTAGAAACTAGAAAGAGAACCAGAAAAAACTAAAGATTATAATTAAAGAAGAATCCTTACATTTGACTTACTAATACGGAATGGAGCAAAATACTTTAACATTTGATGTACTGAAGGGTATTTTTGAACAATGAACCCAGAAATTAATTTTAAAAGACACTCAAAGAGATTCATTAGAGATAGACCAAGTTTGACAGATGTTATGGAACATGTTTTACTGGATAAAACAAAAGTGGATATAAAAGTGATAGGCTACAAGAATGATATGGAAAAAGATGCCATATTGCAATACAAACAAAATCAGGATATTAATACTAATTAAAAGGGATATAGAAGTAACAGATCAAAAGAGTGACCTGAATAACTTTCCTATATTGGATTTACAAAAGAGATTTCTGGAAGGTTCAAAGACTTTTGAGAGAATAGGAAAAGAAAAAATGAAATCAAGTTCTAAGACATTATTTGAAGTTTTTATTTACATTGTTTTTAATTTCTTGATTATTTTTTTTCAAATTGTTATTTCAACATTGTTAAAAATAAAAGGAAAGAATATAAAGGCTTATTTGATCAAGGTTAAATTTGATGTTAAATAGATCAGGCCTGACTAACAATGAAGCTTTAAGCATTTGTTTATAGATAAGAGATGACATATTAGAAGAAGATATTTGTCATTTGTTGTGTTTGAAGGGAATTCATAAATTACTAAAATTACTTGTTTATACTTGTTAAGATGAAAAAGGAAGTATTTTCTTTAATTTTTTTCTTTACTATATTTTTATTTTTTCCCTATTTTTTCTATTTATTCTTTCTTAGTTTTTACCTTTAATGATAATGTTTAATAACATTATAAAAAAACAATAATAACATCCTTACTAAGTGCATTTCGTTTCCTTCAATCCATTGGTTCCAACCACGGTCCTCTTTTTCTCCTTTCTGCACACATAGAAGTTTATCTCCATCCCACGTCACACAAGTCTAATAAAAACAACAACAACATCCAATTCAAACCAACCAACAAAAATAAACTGTAATATATACTATTTTCACCCTTTCTTAAATACCTTTAGGAAATAAAATTCAATATTTAATTTTAGAAGCTAGAGTATCTTTAATAAAGATTATAATAAAAATGAAAAACATTTTCCCAACAGGATTATTGTTCTAGGCTATATAAACTCCTTTTAATCTCATAAAAAATAAAAATAAGTAGTTTAAAGGTCTTTTAAATTCTATACCAGAGGTTCAACTCAAACTTTTCTTAAGTAGAAGACCAAAAAGGCAATATATGATAACTTTATAACAATTTTTTTGTATGACGAAAAACATTAGAAAGTCATATCACCCATGGTCTCTCCCCCACCTCCCTCTTTCCCCCTCTTCCTCTCTCTCCCTTCCTCTCTCTTTCTCTCTCAGCAGGGGACATAATAAATCTAATTTGTTCTGCATCTATGTCTAATTAAAGTTAAGAACCAATTAATAAGGAAAACCGTTCAGTTTTTCAACTGTTCAAATTATATATTATCGAGTATAACTTTTAATATTTTTCTTATATACATGTGACACCTCCCTTACTTAAAAATGATAAAAAAAACAAGACTTGGTGAATTGTTATTTCCTGGATAAATTTTTTAGCTTATTTGACAGAGAGAATGAGAAACAGGCAGGCAATAGGAGATTGTTTCTTGAGTATCTGAAATATAATTTGGTCTAAGTAGTTAAAAATCATTTAAATTAAATTAAAATTAAAAATACTTGATAATATGTCATTTCAGCTCCATTAAAATTACAACTTGATAATAACTTTGGGGAATATTCAGAATCTGTACTTATGCGTTTCCAGGCTCACACAACTGCATTAATCCAGGATTATTTCAAAACGTTGCCAAGTATGTGGTGTTGTCACATCCCACCTTTTTATACTACATTTGTATTTCAAATTTTGTCACAACTACAGAAGTCATGGATTTTGCATAATAATTTAATTTAATGAAACATGTTCACATATGTGTACCACTGAAGGAAGACAACAGTGATGTTCTCTTTTCCATGTTGATATTTTAACTACAAGCCGAATTAATCTTTTACAATGTTATTCTGGAGCTGTTAAGAATTAAGGAGATGGAAAAGTGTTATAGCTTCTTTTATTAGGCTGATGAGGAAATTATTTTAAATGTATGATGTTTAAATTAGATTTGGTTTTAATCTTTTTGCAAAAGTGCATTTAAAAACAATGATCCCAAACGTAGAAAAAATAATTTATTTTTATTTTCAAGCTGCCATATGTAAAATAAAAATAACATTACATTACATTACATCAACAGTCCCTAACTCCATTTGAGTTGATTACTTTAGTCTAGGTACTAGAATATTATCTGATCACTCCTCCCTTTTTTTGGCTGACACTATTTCTGAAAACTAGCTTAACTCCTTGTGTACATGTAATAATACATCTTTTAGAAAGTCATATAGCACAGATTTAGTACAGTAAATCCATGGTAGAAAGCCCTTTTATTTTACATAAAGCAAATTGGAGAAAGAGGGAGACGGTGAGGGAGAGGGAGAGAGATATTTTAAATAATGCCTTTTTAATGTATGGATTTCTGACAAATGTCCCTGCTAGACATTGGCTACAAAGCTAATTGAAGCTATTTTCACTGAAATTAGTGGGGATTACAAAAATGAAATCTAGACAAAGTCAGACATAAATTCTATCTGCCCAATACTTCAAAAGGAACACCTTAACAGCCCTTGTGTCAGTGAATCAGTCAAAAAAAAAAAAAAAAAAAAAAAGACCTTCCACCAGTAGAGGGAACCCTTATCCAGCATTTGCAAACTGAATAGAGCACCAGCTGACCTTGAAAAACTACAGTAATTTTGAAGGTTCTGTTTCATTAGTTGTTCCTTTTTAACAATTTAATATGAGTTTGGAAAAACAGAAATTCTAACCTATGATGCAGTTTATTTTGTTAATACTATGTTGTTTTGGGTAGTCCCATGTAATATAACATCATTCTAAATACTGTGGGATCAATGCCACCAAGTTCCAACAGTGGACAATTTCTGTTCACTTCATTGAGTGTACAAAACTCCAACCTAAGATATGCTTCCAAAATAAAAGAATTTTATTTTAATTCTTCAATAATTTTGTTTCAAACATAGAATCAGATGATGTCTTCAATTTGTAGTCTCTCAGTATAGGATTCCACTGCCTTTCCCACATAATTTTTTTAATCTGTGAAGAAGACGTACACAATGTGTTTTGACAATTCACAAATAATTCATTTATAATATTCAACCCGCTGTCCTAAGCATTTTTGTTCGACCAGCAGTTGTAGTTCTGGTTTGAAGGTGAGATTTTCCTACTAAAGATTCCATGCTGTCTTCTTCTTAAACCTTAAATTGTCACTGCTGAATTATCTCCTCTAGAAAAGAGCTTTCATAGAACTGGCATAGGGTTAGGGGGGAAAAAATTAAGCTGAATGGAGTTTGATTGCTTCCTTTATTCTGGCTTGTCACTTATTTCCAATGTTCCCATAAATCACAAAAATGTTAGCTTCTATTTTGTCCAACTGACCAGTCAACCTAGATTCTTCTTGCATTGGCATATGTTCATAGAGAACAAAGTAGAAACAATATTTTAGATATACCCAACTATTACTGCTATATATATTTTTATAAATGTCTGAGAGAGATGACTTTCCTCCATAAAGTTTTTCATGGCAAACTTTTTTTGTTTACATAGTTCCATATGTTCAGGGACTGTGTTTAGTATGATATTCTGGTAAATACAAATTTTCATTGCATGAGACTACATATATTAAGGGTTCAGAAAAGTACACCTCGAGTAATCATTATTATTGATAGCTTTACCATATGTAGATTAATAAAAATAGTTTTGTGCTTTCGTTTGTAGTGCTTTGCTAATAGCATAAATCCAGTGTATCGTGGTTGCACTCCTAATCATACATTCTTTTTTAGCATCAGTGGGGTTGTTTCACAATATAGAGTTTTAGAATTGAAGTATAGACCAATTCTGTGTAAGTTTGTAGACCAGTTTAGGTGTCAAATATATGTCACATCCTCTGATTGTACCTTTGTATTACTTTCTGCACTCTCTATGGTATTGTTATTTGCCTTTTCCCCATTTATAGTCCTGCCTTCATAGGAATTTGAGAAATCAAGTGTTCTCCTGGCCCTTATCATATTTTTCGGAATATAAGATCCACCTTTCCCCCCCTAAAAGAGAGTGAAAATTTGGGTGTGTCTTATACACCGAATGTAGCCCTGCCCACCCACTGGCTCCCACCCTTTGGCCTCTGCCTTGCAGCAAACATCAAGAAAAAACAGCTCCTTTCAGCTTCAGCATAGCCTAATTAGCACAAGTTGATTGGATCGGCCTCCCAACTCTTAGCTAATTTGCTCTCAGATGTTTTGCGCAGGGCTGTTTGCTGCAATGAGGCAAAATTGCTCAGAGGCAGAGGATTTGTTTTTCTTCTTTTCCTCACCAAAAAAGGTAGGTGTGTCTTATACTCCGGTGCGTTTTATACTCCGAAAAATACGGTAATTCTTTCCAAACCCATTCCTTAAAATGCATGTAAAGCAATCATAGCTATATCGGCCCATTTTAAAATAAATGTAATTCTATTACTGGCAAACAATAAGCTGATAAAATGACACAACAGAAAGTAAAAGTGTTGTAGTTATGTAAACTCTTCCTTAGACATAATAGTAGTCAGCGGTGGGTGTCACATACTGTAACAACCGGTTTGTCCAAAATTGAAAATGTGAGTGTGTGTGCGGCATTGAAAAAACAGCGATTATATAGGACAGCGCCAGGGCCCGAACTGGTTCAAACCAGCAGCAGCCCACTTCTGGCAGTAAATTAAGAAATGGGGAAATACTGGGAAATAAAAGCAAATACGCAAAAACCTCTGCTGTAGAACGCCATATGGTGTTGCTCTGCTGTAGAACTCATTAATGGTGTTGCTCAGCTACAAAGTTTGTATTTTCAAGGTAATCTGAAACTCCACCCACAGCTGTGTAAAATGTAAATATAAAAAGTAAAATACATGCTTTGTACATTGTAATTTAAGTATGAAAAAGGAAGCCATTTGAAACCAAGCCAAATACATTGAAAAAGTAATGTAATATTTTGATTTAAGCATATTAATTAATTCATAAACATTGGCATTTATGATTAAGCACAGTTAAACAAAAGTTATTCTGCTTTTATTTTACAATGAACATTTCAAGAAGCTATAATCAGAAACAAGCCTTTTGGGATATATTCTAAGAGAGTAAAACTTAATACTTAAAGAACTTCATTATTTTTGGTTAACTAGAATTTTGTTGTTGCTTAGAAACTCTTCGCCAGAAGATGTACATTTTCTTTAAAATGTAATTTAGCTTCATAACTTCTAGAATTAATGTTGCTTCCATTTCCAATTGGGCATGAAACATACTAAATCTGCCCTGCTGTCTTCCATCTCTTAAAATAAACATTGCTTTTAAAAATTATGATTGTAAGTATTTCCCACGGCACTCAGCATTGACAATAGAGAGTAAAAACTATCTATGAGAAGAAGAAAAAAGGCAAGGATAGCTAAATACATAGCATGTACAGAGAATTCTCTAGAAAGTGACATGTGGTTTACCCTGGAGATAGTACCTGCCTTGAAAACTGCCAAACTTGAATAATTTCTGAACCTGAAGTGTATAGGTTCTTCTTTTGTTAGAGCATGTTACTTTAGAAATTAAAACCAATACTTTGTTAGGGAAACATACTCCAGGGGTGAAATATCTACACTAGACTTACTGTAATCAGGATGCTTAATAGATTCTTTAATAGGAAACTGTTCTCAGAATCTGATGGTGCTACCTATTGCTATTGCTGTTCCAAGTGCCAACATCTATTAGCATGGTTTATGCTGGCTTTGGAAATACCTGGAAAGCCAAAGATTCTGTTACTCCTCTTG